GCACCTGGGAAGGCATAGGAGTAAAAGATGACGACTTCTTTGTAGATATCTTAGACCCTAACGAGTTATCCAACCACCTTAAGTTCTGGCATCGACAATTCCCTAAAGATACTCAGACACTCTTAATCCTCGATGACATCGCATGTGGGGACGACGTAAAAAGACGCACCTCCGAGTTGGTGAAGCTTGCCTTTAGCGGCAGACATGACAATATCAGCGTTTGGTTGCTCTCCCAGCAGCTTACCAGCGTCTCCAAGCCTTTTAGGGAAAACATAGGTTCACTTGTCGTATTTTATACTCCAAGCAAGTCCGATTTGGAAACCATCCTCTCCGACTACGGCGGTGAAATAAGCAAAGAACAGTTGCACGAATACATGCGGCATTTAAAGACACACCAACATTCTAAAATGATCTTCTCTTTGAGGTTTCCGTATTCCATTAACATATATGGAGATTGAGCAGCTGATAGATGAAGTCCCCACACAGCTAGACGAAAGTAACCTTAAAGAACAACTTAACATCCTTGTGTCTTCGGGGAAGTGTAAGGAAATGGTAGGCAAGGAACTTACCCATGAGCAAGTTAATAAGTTGTCAGAGGAGGAGGTTAAGAAGTTCCATAAGAGGTACGAGGCHGCCCTTGCAAGTAAGACCACGAATGCCGTAGCAGACTCCGCTATTAAGCTGGCCACCAAACTGCTTGGGCTTGCGCTGCCCATAGACGACGTGGAGGCACTTCAGAAGGACATAAGTGAGGACTATGTCATCGCCCAAGAACTTAAGATAACCTGTGGGTGGTTGTCTTTGAAGTGCGGTAAGTTAATGGCAGTCGCATCTTTGGGACTTCACGTAGCTCAGCACGTCGACTTGAAGGAGGTACTAACCTCTTGGAAGGACTTTAAGAAGGACAAAGAAGTCGATAGGATATTCCGCGCTGCACTTGCTGAGGTACCTAGTCAAGTCGATGTAAGTCCTTCTGAAGTCATTCACGGAACTTAGTTAAGTCGTCGTCAAGTCATTTACGGGACTTAGTCAAGTCATTATCAAGTCGTCGTCAAGTCATTATCAAGTCGTTGCCAAGTCATCATTAAGTTACTTGTCAAGTCCTTCAGGTCCCTTAATATAAGATGAGTGACACCGAACAAAAGGCCCAGGAATCACCCCAGCCTAAGGAAGAGGCGAAAATCACCAAGCCCAAAGCTCCGGGCAGAGTCGCTGCGGGGAAGAAGCTCGCGGAGATGAATAGAAAGAACAAGGCAAAGAAGGAAAAGAAGGAAGAGGAGGACGAAGGTGAATCCTTTATTAATCCTGGATACGTTATCGGAGCATTAGGACTCGCTATAGCAGCAGGCAGCCTCTACTTACAGTGGCGGGCTACGAAGCCAAAAGTGGAATTCAAGGCCGTGCACGTAACGCAGGAGCCTAAGAGAAGCAGAATACCCGAGATGGAATAACCTTCTCGCTTTGTAATATAATGTCGTCGGCATTAATGAAAACAGTTGAAGAAGCAGCTATTATTACTTCCATCGTTGCGGGTATTGGTTGGGTAGGTAAGAAAGTGCTCAAAGAAGACTTTACTGAAGACCCGAGCAAGAGCTTTGCTAATTTTGCTAAGATGACCGCCGCTGTAGGTGGGGCTGTAATGTTAAAGGACTACCTACAGAAGGAAAAGTACCTGCCTAAGATATAAATGGCTAGCGTATTGGTAGGTGGCGTTATTGCAGCGTTAGCATTCACGGGAGCCAATTATGGTGGTCAGTATTTGGATAGATTAGTTAGAGGCAACAAAAGCGATGCTGAGAGGAAAAGGCATGACTTAGCCCTGGAGAAATATCAGCGAGACGTGGCAGCTTGGAATGAAAAAAGACAAGCTTACAGGGATTGGTTGGACAAGAACTACCAAGACAAGATGCAAGCGGATAAAAACTTCGAAAACACAGACTACGCCTTTAAGCTCTATGCGCAGACGCACCCCGACTTTAGGATTAGCAAGCCTCAATTTAAGAATTACTACCAGCCGTCAAAGAAACAAAAAGACAATGAGCTGGTCTTCGTAGGAGTCGCAGGGCTGGCAGGGGGTGCAGC